TATATATATATATATATATATTAAAAAATGTTTTCTAGGTATTTCTAATACAGTTAGATTAATTAAAGTTTTACTGCTCATAGAACATATATTTAGGTATTCAGTCAATCAGATTTTTTTAAAAACCTTAAAAAAATTAGCCCATGAAGAAAAACTGATATTTAGTAACTCAAAAGTTTTTTTATATACAACTGTTTTTTAAAAATGTTCAAATTTTGCTAGAACGTTCCAAATTAGGATGGAGTTGCTTTTTTAGAACATTCCAGATTAATTTTATGATTACTTTTAGGAATGATTAAAAGTATTTTGTCACTCTTTTTCTGTCGACTGTTCTTTAAATATTGACAAAATGGGGAAAAGCAAAATAATTGATCAAGACCTCTGCAAATGTATTGTTGACCTTCATACAAATAAACTTGGTTATAGGAAGATATCTAGTCAATTATATGTGTCATTAAGTTCAGTTGGTACAATAGTTTCATCACAGAAAAAGCTCTTGTCATCCTAGAAAAGTAACGGAACATACGGCAAGATTATTGGCGAGAAAAGTTGGCAATGAGCCCTGAGTTATGCTAAAAGAACTTCAGGGAGGACTATAAGCAAGTGGATTAAAAGTGAGTATGGTTACAATTAGTCATTCACAACTTTGTTGATATGACATTGTTTTGAGGACTCCAAGGAAAAAAACACTTCTTAAACAAAAACACATTCTTGCTAGACTGGATTTTGTGAATGAGCATTGTATCAAACCTGCAGCATTTTGGGAATATGTACTTCGGTCAGGCGAAACGAAAATTGAAGTTTTCGGCAGAAATGCTGTGGCAAAGGTCTGGATAAAAAAGGGTACTGAATATTTGCTGAAGAATACTATCCAAACAGTAAAATTTGGAGATGGATCAATTATGATCTGGGATTGCTTTAGCATTCAAGGTATAGGGAACATTGAAATAATAGAAGGGAGGATGAATGGAGCATGTTAAAGGGATATTTTGGAGAGAAATTTACGTTATCGTGCACAATCACTGGGTTGAAACCAGGTTATGTCTTTCAACAAGACAATGATCCTAAACATACTGCAAAGCTTATAAAATCATGGTTAAGTTCAAATAGAATAGACATTCTAAAATGGCCAAGTCAATGTCCAGATCTCAATCTGATTGGAAATTTATGGACAGAGCTGAAACTGAGAATTCAAAGAAGGAATCCCTAAGACCTGCATGAACTAAAGCAATTTTGTCATGAAGAATGGAATTAGCCAAGAAACAAGCAAGAAATTCATAGGGGAATACTCTAAATGTCTACATTCTGTAATTAGCAATAATGGTTACATTACAAAATATTAATAGATGATTTAATAAATGTATTGTAAACTTTTGAATTATTAAATATTGGTTTTTCTTCTTGGGATATATTTATTGATTATATTTTCAATCTGATTGTTTGACTGAAGGCTTAAACATATGTATTATTTGCAGTATGTATTATTAATTAATCTGTGTTAGAAATACCTAAAAAAACATTTTTTGTAATGTGTTGTAAGCTTTTGCATGGCACTCTATATAATGCTAGTTCATTTTATTCAAATAAAATGGCATTATATTTTATCCAATAGTGACTTGAAACAGTATAAAGAAAATTCATTGCATTCACTGAAGAATTCTTTAACTAATTATTAGCATCCAGTCAGATAGGAATAGGTTTACTTCATTACTTTTATTTGTATCTGTTAAGATAATTCATTTTTTCTTTGATGCACTTTGTTTATGAAGTTCATGTTATTCAGATAATTAAAGAACAAAATAAAAAACCCAGATGTATCAATGTAAAGATCTACCCCGAGAAAAGTAAATTTACTTTTCATATTAATCTTTATCAAATACATAATTATGAAATAGTCATATTTTCTATTTCATCCTGCCATAAAAACAAATATTTTCAAGCATTCCATGTCATTACTGCTAAATTTTGTAATATTTTCTCTTCTACCCTGAGACTTGATTCAATATCTTTTACTCTTTTCATATTAGAGGGAAATTTAAAAAATAAATTGAATCTTTATCAAAGAATTTAAAGAATTTAAATGAGAGAAAAGCAGAAAAAAGTAAGCATTGTCATTTAGGAGCCAAATCTTGTCATAAAAGCAGAAAAAGCTTTTGTTTTACTGATTAACAGAAGCAAAATGTCGGTGAGAACAAAAGAATATTGGTTTGAGATTACATATTTTTCATTTTTTTAAAAATATATACAATCATTTTGCAATATTAGGTATCAAGGTTTTTATTCACAAACTGTGCAATTTTTTAAATGTTACATCATTATTAATATTAGAATATGTGTATTATGGGATAAAAATAACCTAGTTTCACTTGGATAAAAGAGGTTGAACTGCAAAACATGTGAGATATTCCTGCATGTAAATATGGGTGAGTACAGACTGATCCAGCTTTATTGGTAGAGAACAGGACTGGAAGTCAGGAGGCCTCCATCATATACTACTTATCAGAAGTATATTTAGCTCTGTTAGTAGAAGAGAATACTAAACATCTAGATGTCTAAGCAGTTAATTTGAGAATACATCTAGATGTCTAAGTATTTAATTTGAGTTTTTATTTATTACAAACTACTGAACTTCAAAGTGAATTTCTGCTATTTTTTGCAGATTAAACTAATGTTTCAAGTAATTTTCTCCAGATTTAGGACTTATGCACAGATACATTTCCATTATAAGTATATCCATATTTATATAAATGCAAGATTTATACAATTTAACTCCCCAAAGCATTAAATAATTTTAGTATTTGCATATCAAATTTGAAAAATACACTGCTAATTTCCTCTCTTCAGATTGTTAACCTTAAATAACCTACTTTGCTATTAATATTTACACAGCTATTTTTATTACAATTATAAATATAAAATCATGATTGAAAATGAACTGCTATAAAATAGTTATTTAGTATCAAACAAGCTTTTAAATGAATATCGCAAATTTTTTTTTAACACAGAGCAGGAGTTCTCATAACAAATAAAATTGGTATATGAACTCATTTTAGTCTTACCAAGATTTTTTAAGTAGATTCTCAACATTTAATTACATGTAAGTATACAGAAGGTGCTTCTCTCCCTTTGTTGGAGATAAGTTATGTGGGTCACATGACAGCTGCTTAATGATATCACTCCATACAGTGGCAAAAATGGCAGTCAATTTCAGTTCATTTACAGCAACCAAACAGTAAGGTTGCTTTCTGTAGCCTGGGCCCCCCATGTCCTTGGCAGAGGTTAAACCTGTCTCCCCAGCAGCTTACAAGTCCATGATGTCATTCTCATTTGGGAATATATCTATCCCAGATATAGAAAGAAACTGCACCTCACAATCCTCAATTTGGGAAAACCAAAACTCACTGTTTCCCATTCATGAAATATGTCCTCGCCTGGGACATAGTAGATGAATCCAGCCCATTTGAATCTGGAGTCCTAAACATGATTTCTCTAGGCAGAAATACTCAAAATGGGGGAAACTTAAATGGGAGAATAAGTCTTTCTTCCATAGCTCACCGTTTTTCTTAAATAACTTAGGTTTTGAATTGTTTTTACTCTAATGTATTCTAATGATAATGTTGCTGGCAGATAATTATTTCTAAGCTGTTATAAGACAACAACTGAAATGGTCAGGTAATGCTAAGCAAGTTCATTTGTAATCAAATTTTCCATTTATATTCATATATCTAGAGTTTTAAATACATTGAAAATTTTGAATGGTGATCCTCACCTGATATATCAGATGAAATTCAGCAGATTCTGCACCTTTTCTAACAGGGATCTAAATCAAACTATAATTCTGTATTGTTTTAAGATGAAATTCATATTTCATCTGTCAGATGCTGGCTTCTTTCTTTTTCACCTGAAGCTACCCAAAGTATATCTGTGAGTCTTTAGTGTTAGTTTGCAAATATTTATTCAATAAGATGCTGGATTCCAATAGCTGTGTTTTACAAGCCAGAAATTGACATTTGGATGTATTGACACAAAGCCAATTCTGATGGCTGAAAAGTGAATTTCATTGTGGCATTGAGACTAGGTTTTCTTATTCTTTTCATTTACTAAGTGGTTTCTTAAATGTGTGTATAGCTGTATATGTCAAATACAAATAACAAGTCTTTTTTATATACATACATTTGCATATGTTTCAAACAAGTATATACACAAAGTATGAATATTATTAGCATTTTGTTGTTCCAGATCAAAAACTCTAGATCTACATGTGTGTGTATGTGTTGTGTATGGAATATAAAAAATGTCTACTGGAAAAAAACTTTAAATATAATCAATGAAACAGTTTCAATGTACCAATCATTAGACTCATTTCATGCTAGTATTTAGAAAAAGACATTTAGCAGGAATTTCCCATCGAATCATTGATAAAGAACAACTGAGTGAAAGAGTAAGTTTGATGATACTCAAGTCTTCTTTCCACAAATTCTACATTCCTCAATTTGTCAAAATAACTGACACTACTTCTTTGCTTTGAAGGCATGTATACAACTCCAGCTTGCCTATAGATTTACATATTCCCCATGAATTTACATATATAGATGCATGCATACAAATATATATATATATATATATATATATATATATATATATATATATACATACATGAAGAGTTTTTTCTTCCACTCCCACTCCCCCCATTACTTCTCGTGCTGCACTAAGGCATTTAAGTTCTTGTGTTGTCTCTGATTAATTTGCTGAGTAAACAACCTGACAGGACCATATCAGTTGAAACTATGGTAGTGTTCTGGTCAGTGTGTTATCTTTTTCATATATATATATATATATATATATATATATATATATAAATTAATACAAATATAAAGATTGTCAATTAACTGATTGATGTTACCTTCAGCATCCCAACTCCAGAGTTTCATAGATTGAACCTTCAACAATCAATCTGTCCACTGATCAGTGAGTATCACCAATTGACTGTTTATGAAGCTTATGGCCATATCATGTTGAAACATTGGTTCTCATAAGATCACTGAAATTAAGCAACATCAAGTTTGGTCAGTACTTAGATGGCTGACTGCTTGGGAATACCAAGTGTTGTGAACTAGGATTTGTGGGTGGGGTAATGTGTAATATCTCATAATTGCAAATCAGTGAGCAGATTTCCAATTCCAGTTGTGTTCCTTATATTCACTTATGTACAAATACTCTTGGGTAAGGGTATGAATCTTCCTCTTCTCCCTCCCCCCGCCAGCTATAGGTTAATTAGTAGGACTTGTATCAGCAAATTATTATTATTCCCACAAAATTCTTACAAGCTAAAAATATTTTCTGGCCTTAAATTACTGGCAAAAGGTTGATAAGTTGTAAAAATCAAATCAATCAATTAATGTAATGTAATGCAGTGTAATGGTTAGCATGCTTGTCTCGCTAGAACAATTACGACTGTATAGTGAGCTCGATCCTCACTGGATGCCCCATACTTTCAGCCTTGTGCCACACCTAGACTATGCTTGGAAAAACTATATATATATATATATATATATATATATATACACACACACACACACGGTGTGATAGATAAATTGTCACCATTTTATATTTTTAATTTTGCACATGCGTGTAGTTTGTTTTTGATTTTGTCAACAGCACAGTATAGTTGGGTCAGTTGGGCACCATTTGTGAGAAAAAAGCACCAAGACACAATTTACTCTGCCAGAAATTTCAAAACAACATGCTATACTGCTTGGCACGAATTCTGGAAAATCCAATTTCGAACATTTCAGAGGATTTGGTTGTCAATCTGATTCAGAACGAGTTGGATGAGTCTAATCATGATTATGAAGGTATGCTAGCTCAGAAAACTCACTCTGATCATTCTGATAAAAAGGAACGCCTGAATTTGTTGGTGAGGCATTCAGACTCAACAAAGAGGCCTACAAGACTCTGCACCATGAAACTGTTATATAGGAATAAAGTGTCACTGCCAACACTTGAGTTTGAATGTAGATCACCAGAGAGAAAACACTGACAATTCCATTATTGAATTAAGTGAATCACATGACCATAGAGAAAGGCATAAGTAGAAAGTAGCTTGGCCTCTAATTGATCTGCATTTCTAATCTATCCTCTATTACTATACAGACCACTATTCTCTATTCTATTTATTATACTATTCCTCTATTTGGATCACTATTACTGTTCGAGTGAGTATTATCAAACAAGTATTATTAGTGTGAGTGCTATTTGATGGCATCTGACACCAGTATTGTTCAATGGTATACCATAGTGGTATCTGTGATTACAAAGTCTCTACTACAATGAGCATTATGAAAGTGACAATGAGTATTCGTTGGCATCACAAAAGTAGCAATGAGTGTTCGTTGACATCACAAAAGTTGTGACAATGATTCACAAGAATTCCTTGAGCTTACACAAGGATTCATTCAGCAGAGTACAGCAAAATGGAAGCGCTATCATGGTTCAAAAGCAACAAAAATAAGAGTTGCAGCAATAAAATCATGAACAGCAATTACAATTACAACTACAACAACTTTTGGGTTGTTTACCAAAACCATGGAAGGAAAAACTTCAGATTCATTCACTCCAGATGCTGTTGCTAATTCAATCAGCGAATTTGTATACAATCCGGATGAAGGGATAACTTTTCTAGCTTATTATAATAAGAAGGGATCTTCAAGGATTATTTGCATTGGAATGATGAAAAGAAAGTTCGGTTATTATTAAGGAAATTGTCCCCTGCTGGACATGAAAAATATGTGAATTATATTTTGCTGAAAAACCAGAAGAGATAAATTTTGATGAAACTGTTCTAATTCTAACAACAATTTTTGATGATAGGAATTCATTATCTAATACATGATGACAATGTCTTAACTTAGTAAAGTCCAACAATGAAGATTTTGTCACTTATGCAGGAATCGGGAATTGAGAATGTGAGAAGTTCAAGTTAATGAATTAACTTCTGATTTATTTAAATGCCTGGTATTCATACAGGGTTTAACTTCTAATAAGGATGCAGAGATAAGATCCAGGATACCTGCTAAATTAGAAATGGATTCCAAATTAACTCTCCAGAAAATGGCAGAAGAATATCAACATATTGTAAATTTGAAACTTAATACTGCAAGGAGTGAGGAAAATAAAATTCACAAGTACATAGTCTTCGACCAGTTAAGCTTTTCAAATCCTAACAGAACAGAAAAAAACTCTCCCTCAATACCTAATACTTGTCATGGTTGTGGAGGTAAGCATCTTAAAAGTGATTGTTTCTTCAAGAACAAAAAATGCTATGAGCTGGGGAGATTAGGAGATATGCTGCAGATACAAAAAAATGGAGAAAAAAGAATGTGAACATAATAAATACATGGAGGAACAATAAGAAGCCTAAAAGAGAAATTAACAAGACATCTCAAAAGAGGAAATTTGTTTTTGTGCAAATTAATAATGAAAAATAAAATTGCAGCTAGATACAGGATCTGATATCACTATCATAAATGAACAGACATGGAGAAAAATGGGTAAACCCAATTTATTGATGTCTGATAAAGTTACGTATGGAGTCTCAGGAAAGAGACTGAACTTTTTGGGTGAATTCGGCTGTAACATTTATTGTGTGGGAAAAACCAAAAAAGCAGTGGTGTTTGTATTAAAGAATACTGCTAATTTGTTTGGAACAGACTGGATTGCATTTGGGACCTTCCAATTAATTCTTTTTGCAACAAGGTAAATGTTGTTACCCCCGGTACTAATACGGCAACTGAAAAATTGAAAAATGAACTGAAAAAGAGTTTGCCAGAGTTTTTTCAGAAGGTCTAGGGACATTCTTGAAAGTAAAAGCTAAGTTTGAGTTAAGAAAGAACCAACATTTAAGCCAAAAAGAAGTCTACCTTTTGTGGCCTTAGATCCAATGAATAATGAATTAGACAGATTAGAAAAATTAGGTGTGATATCAAAAATAGACTATTCCGAATGGGCATCACCAACAGTCTACATTAAAAAAAGAAATAATGAAATTTGAAAATGTGCTGATTTTTCAATGGGGTTAAGTGAATGTTTAAAACAACATAACTATCTGTTACCAAATCCAGAGGAAATTTTTGCCAAATTGAATGGAGGTAAATTTTTTTCTAAATTGGACCTGTCAGATGCTTATCTACAAGTACTAGTAGATGGAGAGTGCTCAAAATTATTAGCAATTAACATTCATAGAGTGTTATACAAATTCAACCAACTTCCTTTCAGTATAAAGGTAGCACCAAGCTATTCCAACAGATTATTGATACCATGCTTGCCAGTTTGGATTGTGCTCAAGCATATTTCAATGACATACTTATTAAAAGTAAGACCTGAAATCAGCATATGGAAGTTGTAAAAAAAGTATTTGAGGGAATCATAGAATATGGTTTTAAGATTAGTGAAGGAAAATACTAATTGTTTATATCCAGATTTAAAAATCTAGGACAAATTAAATGAAAATAGTAGACAACCAGATTCTTCAAGGGTGACTGCAATAAAGGACATGCCTGCTCCAACAAATGTAACAAAGTTACAAGCATTTTTAGGGTTTGTTAATTACTATCATATATATATATATATATATATATATATATATATATATATATATATATATATATATATATATACAAAACATGCACGAATGAAGAGCACCCTTGAATAACCTGATTAAGAAAGATGTGAAATAGAAATGGACAGATAAATGCCAAAGTGCTTTTGAAGAGATCAAGTGTTAACATTGGATTTGTTGCTAGCTCATTTTGACCCTAAATTAAAGATTGTGGTTGCATCAGATGCAAGTGATTCAGGTATCAGAGAAGTGATGCTACACAAATATGAGTACAGAACAACTAAACAACTAAACCAATAGCTCATACTTCAAGATCATTGATTGCACCATTGGCAATCATATTTGTTATGAAAATGTTTCATAAATTCCTACATGGTAGAGAATTCATACTATAGACAGACCATCAATCATTATTGTCCATATATGGATCAAAAAAGGGTGCTCCCACACATACAGTGAATAGACTGCAGTGCTGGGGAACTATCCTATTGAACTATAATTATAAAATGGAGTTTCTACCACCCAAAAAATGAATTCATGCAGACGGATTGTCTAGACTAATACCAAGATTCTGTGAACCATTTCAAGACACAGTAATTGCAATGATAACGGCCGAAAGCGACCGTTATCATTGCAATTACTGTGAAATTAATAATGTATTATACAATACTGTAAAAGAACTATCCATAACATTAGAGGAAATAAGAATTAAGTCAGACAACTTTATAATGAAAATGAAGAAGCAATTAAGATTTAAAGGAAAAATATTACTGGAAATAATGCATTTTCATTATGTAATGATGTACTTATGTACACAGAAAGAATTGTAATACCAGCATCGTTGCAAAAATGTATGCTAAAGGAATTTCACATAGGGCATCCAGGAATTAAATCTTTAATGAAGTGTTATTATTACTGACTAAAAATGGATCAAGATATCAAAAATTTAGTGAAATCATGCAGAAGTTGTGCACTGGCAGCAAAAGTTACCACCTATCAAAATTCAATCTTGGCTAAAAACCGATATGTGATGGTCTAGTATACATATAGACTTCACAGGACTGTTAAACGGAGCATACTATCTAGTGGTAGTCGATAGTTACACTAAATAGCCTGAAATATTAAAATGTAGAAGACCTACTACCATGGTAACAATAAATTTCCTACACAAGATTTTTGCAAGGTTTGGTGTTCTTGATTCTATCATTTCAGATAACAGGACTCAATTTCACATCTAGTAAATTTAAGTTTTTTTTGCAAATCATTAGCAATAGAACATCCACCTTATCACCCAAGATCAAATGCACAAGCAGAATGGTTTGTTGATACATTTACGAGGGCACTGAAAATGTCAGTGGGAGAGGAGCCAAATGAAGAAATGCTACAACAATTTCTGAGTATTTACAGAATAACACCAAACCCGAACACAGTGTCTGGAATGTCGACTGCAGAGTTGATTTTCGCCAGGAAAATTAAGTTCATATTTAACAAATT